TTTTTTAATTGTGATTTGGGTGAAAATTTACAGAGCAAATTCACTTTCCATACAGCAGTTCACATACACTTTGTCTCATGACATTGACCACAATTCACCACAATGCAACAGCTCCCCTCCCCCTTCCTCGACAGTCACTTCTTCCCTGTGTCCATCCCTCCATGCACTCCTGCCCCCTGAGCTGTCTCCTGGTGCACAAACAGCCCTTCTTTGTCCCATGATTGTTTTCTCCAAGAAGTCTATTTACCTCAGGTAAATGTTTAACTCCTATGCCTGTCTTTTGCTTGGCTGGAAACCACAGGTGTGGGTTCAATTCCAGACCTGAAGGGCAACTAGAGGCCATAGTCTCATGGTTCCACCAGGCTCTATCAGACCAGCAAACGTGGAACCCCCCTTTTTTTTCCCAAATGCTTTTGAGTTTTGTTTCATATTGTTCTCCCTCTCTATCCAGGGTCTCCTACATAGATCCCCCTCTGAGTGGTTGACATTTGTAGCAGGGCACCATCTAGTTCTTCTGGTCTCATAGTCATATAGGCTGAGGATCACATGGTGTACCATTAATTGCTAGGATTAATTCTTTCCATGAATCTTTGGTTTTCTCATTCTTCTTTGCTCTGGACGAAGAGAGACCCATCATTGTGTCTAGATCATGACTGGCTGCTTGCAAGCTTTTAAGATCCCAGTCACTAGTCGCCAAAGTAGGAGGTGGAACAATGTTTTGTGTAGTATGTTATACCAGTCCTCTGTGACTATGGGCCCGAGCCCACAGGTTCAATTACTCAGTCCCTCTGGGTAGCTGGCTGTGACCAAGAAATGACTACAACCTTGTCCCTTGTCAGCTCTACTATACACCTGGGAATTCAGATCATACAGGTACACTCATAGGACTTTAATTTTTTAAAAAATGCCAATATTCACAATATGTGGGAGTTACATATTTTGCAACTTTTTATGATGAAAAATTTTGTCAACTAAATATTTTGGGGAAAATTGTTTTTAAAATTTTTTAGGTATATGAGTGAAGATCTTAGGAGACCATTGCTTTGGAGAAGTGACTTTTTCTCCAGATATTTGTTTAAAATAGGATTCAACATAGTGCTCTGTGCGAAAGGAATCCAAAAAATCAAACTCACTGCCCTGGAGTCCGGTTGGACTCATAGCGACCCCTCCTTGGGTTTCCCAAGGTATGTCCACAGAAGTAGATTGCCCAATCTTCCTTCCGAGAAGTGACTGGTGGGTTTGAACCACCAGCCCTCTGGTTAGCAGTGCCTTAGGCACTAGCCACACCAGAGCTCCCACAAAAGGAATAAGGGAATTTTATTTATATTCTGCCTTAGCCCTGTCTTGAATGAAATTGAACAGAATCAACCAATCTCCGTGTTCTTGTAATTCACGAAGTTTGTTGTAGCCACATGCCGCCAGTAGGTGGCGCTCGTTAAAAAGCTCCAGGGGGCGGGTCTCCAGAGCACGCCTCTCCGTAGCGCAGTGGAATCTCTCGGCTTCCGTTGAGGTCCGAGTAAGATGGCAGCCTCCGAGACGGTTAGGCTACGGCTTCAATTTGATTACCCGCCGCCAGCCACCCCGGACTGCACTGTCTTCTGGCTTCTTGTCGACTTGAGTAGATGCCGAGTCGTCACAGATCTCATTAGTCTTGTCCGCCAGCGCTTTGGCTTCAGTTCAGGAGCCTTCCTAGGCCTGTACCTGGAAGGGGGGCTCCTACCCCC